CGTGACCGGATCCGAAAAACTGGATCCACCGGAAAAAATAAATTCAAACCCGTTTCGCCATTAACGAAGCTCGAGCTGCTTCGCTACTACAATGCAATCTCCTCGTAAACTATTCCACGCGCGTCCATCACTCGCCACGCGCCGATCGACGGCTCTTGTCGTATTAACTTCTCTAGCTATCGGAATCGCCGGATTCACATTCGGACTCGCCGTGATTCTTTTCCCTGTTCTCCGATTAACCGGACGTAATTGCTTGACGAATGCTCCTCCGAAGACTGTCCGAGTCGTTTGGGAAGTTTCCGGAGTTAGTAACGTCGTTGGTGGGGAAACGAAGAGGCGTAAGGTTATGGGATTCGTTGGGATTCAAACCGGATTTGGATCTGTTGGTCGGAGACGATCACTTAGGAAGACATGGATGCCTTCAGATCCAGAAGGACTTCGACGGTACTGATTGAAATTTGATCGGAATTTCTCTGGAATCATTTGCATCACTTGAAATTGGGATATTGATTAGCAAAATCTGAGAGTTTTTGAAGTTTATGTGGATTTTGCTTCATTGATTTTGTATTGTTCTTGATGCTTAGGTAGAGATGAATCTAATCAGGTTCTGATTAGTAATCTTTAATCTCAGAATCTTCACCAGATTCAAGAAATTACGGTATAGTCAAGTTCATGATTCTTGTTTTGTTGTAGTACATTGATTTATTGGATGCTTTCACAGTATAGGCAATGAGGAACTTGATTTCTGTATTGATAAGAGATGAATCTAATTAGGTTCTTGTTTTTGTTGTAGTACATTGAGTCTTGGATCTGCTTGTGTTTTGGTTATTTGCAGGTTGGAAGAATCTACGGGATTAGCTATTAGGTTTGTGATTGGAAAGACGAAGAATGAGCAGAAAATGGTTGAGTTAAGAAGGGAAATCGCAGAGTATGACGACTTTATACAGCTAGATATCGAAGAGGAGTACAGTAAGCTTCCTTACAAAACGTTAGTGATGGTGCTTTGCTTCTCTTTTTTCTCTATCAGATCTTAGCTGACACAATATGATTCGGCAGGCTCTAATCCGTGGTTTGTCTTTGTTGTATAGCTTGGCTTTCTTCAAAGCTGCATACGCGCTTTATGATTCTGAGTTCTATGTCAAAGCCGACGACGATATATACTTGAGGCCAGGTGATTGATTATCTCTCTTATGATTGATCTCTATCTTCAGGGGGAAAAAAAAAACAATCTGAGACTTTGTATGAACTTGTGTTTTATTGCATGTTTTTTCCACAGATCGACTCTCTTTGCTATTGGCGAAAGAGCGGAGTCATTCTCAGACGTATCTTGGATGTTTGAAAAAGGGTCCGGTTTTCACAGATCCGAAGCTCAAATGGTAATGACGAAATGTAAAAACACAGAGCCTGCAACGAAGAACTAATATATGCTTGAAAACCGTTGAGAATCGAATTTGAGACTTTTGCAGGTATGAACCATTGTCTCATCTGTTGGGAAAAGAATACTTTCTTCATGCATATGGACCGATATATGCTCTCTCTGCGGATGTCGTAACGAGTTTGGTTGCCCTCAAGATTAACAGGCAAGTTCTGTTTCATATAACTTGACAAAATGTCATAAGTAGTGTCCTCTTTGCTTAGTATAAAGAAGGAAACTTTTGTCTCCAAAACTGCAGTTTCAGGATGTTTAACAACGAAGACGTAACAATAGGTGCGTGGATGCTAGCAATGAACGTTAACCACGAGAATCATCACATTCTTTGCGAACCAGAATGCTCGCCTTCCTCTGTTGCTGTTTGGGACATCCCTAAATGCTCAGGT